AAACACGCAATACAATTAAACAGAGTAACTGTGTTGACTTTCTTTCTCTTGTTTAGTGGAGATTTTTCATTCTGACAAACAGACCAAACTGGGATGGATCTCTGAGCCCGTCAAACAAGTAAGTGTGGTTGCCAAGTGAAACATTTCTATTTCATGTTAGAGCTTGCTTCATGTGAAACATAAACATCTTAATTAATGGCCGACTGGCAGAATACGAGATACGCTGTTCAGACAGAAATTAATTCTCAGCTGTAGATGCATAATTATGTTTTTTTTGTCATTTTTTATACTTGTATTTTATTCATTCATTGAGATCCATGTCATAGATCATACCTGTTGTGATTATTCTATTTATAAGGGTTTAGTAAATCATAAAATACTGCCAGCACACCACAAATAGACAAACTTCTGAATGACGACAGGTTATGGCAACAGTTTGGCCTGATTATTAATGCAAATTGTATGAAATTATATTACTTTGTTTATTAATCATTTTGGAAATTGTAACGTAATTTGTTGAGATACACGACTCTTTTGGATTTATTATGTAAAAGCTCTCTAAGATTCATATTGTGTATAAACATATTTTTGTAATCTCAGGACAAAAATTGGGAGAAATTTGATTTTCTATTCCAAGATGTCAATTATTCATTACACAAAATAATGTAAATGCTTCCAATTTCACCCTGTGGGTTCTCTTTATTTAGTGGCATTCTTGTTTGTCACCTGAGGGAAAGACATACTTGCCTGCAGCTTACATTCATACAGTTTCTGTATAGTGGATGATCCAGGTTAGCAGAACTATAAAATGATGAGTGCTAAAGAGGGTTTGATGACATGGACAGCATGGCTGGCTGATACGCAGTTTAAAACTGAATTACCTTGACAAACCTGTACAGCCACCAGGGGCCACACCATCAGTGTGTTTATTACTATATGAAGCACAAAAATATAAACAGTAATGATTGTACCAAAAGTAAAACCTGCATTATTAGCCCAATTCTACGGAAGAAGCCTGGTCACCTTTAGTCTTCAGCCAGGTCAGACACAACCAGAAGGTTATTGCCTGAGAATCTGAGGCTGTGTTGTGGCTCTTGGAGCTGCAGCAATTCAATGATATGCAGTGATGTGCTAAGATGTGGGCACCCTGGTCTAAATGTCTGTTACTATGAAATGTTTTGTGAGTAGAAGAGAAACAAATCTCCAAAAGGCATAACGCGAGAGATGAAACGTTCTTTTCATTTTAGGAAAGATTTGTGTATTGTTTTTAGGGTTAAAAGGGTTAAAAGAAAATAAACATCAAGCAAAGGTTTGGGCAACCCAAAAAGATTTGAGCCGTCAGTCAATTTTTATTGAGTTCTTATACCTTAGCTTGTTAGGCTTATGATGTGATCACATTCACTGTTAGGAAAGTCCAGGCTGTGCAAATTTCAAAACTATACAAAATGATCTCAGTCCCTGTATCGTGTTGCAATAATTAGCAGGCGGGGGCTGTTCTAGGCAGCTGCCTGGCAGTCCGAAAACTAAAATGCTTTCAAGGTGAAGAAAAACTCCAAGAAGATAATGTTTTTAAGTAGGTGTTTCCTCAGTTCTTAATTGACTTAAAAAGTGACAGTTAACAACAGTGGAGGTCAAGTTAAGGCCTGGAACATCAGGAAACCATCAGGAAATGGCTCATAGCATTGTTGAAAGGCAAATCAAAACTTCTGTTTAACAGCAGCTTGGTTGTCTGTCTCTAAGTGTAGCCCTACCATAGACTGGCAACCTGCCTTCGCCTTAAGTCGGCTGGGAAGGCTCTAGCCCCCCCTGCGACCCTCGTGAGGATTGTATAGATAATGGATGGATGGATGGATGTTTAACAGCTAAAGACTACCTGTAGGATTCAGCTGACTGGACTGGTGGTGCACTGTTCCACTGTGCAGAGACACCAGCAATAATATAACATCAACAGAAGAGTTATTAGCAGCTATCTTTCCTTTATCCTCACCAAAAATTCGGAAGTTTGAAAATAAACAAAGAACAGGACTGAAGCATGGTGGAAACAGATTGTGTAAACGAATGAAACTAATATAGAACTTTTTTACTACCTGTAAGGTATGTTTGGAGAGATAAACGTGCAAAAATTCATGAAAACAACACGTCTAGTTGTTCAGCACAGGACTGTCCAGATGATACAAGATATGTAGGACTGTTGACTGACTTGTTTGAATGATCACATATGTAACTCCAGATTTATTCAACCTCTTAAATGGATTTAACGACACAAAATGAATGAACTGTAGTCTAAACTGAAATAAAGTTGCTTAGTATCATATTGTAATGTGTTCATAGTTGTTATTGCATGTCTCTGCAGCTTTTCATTTATTGTTTTTTTCTTCATCATTACAGTGGGATGAAATTAAGCTGAGAGTTGATACAGAGACTCCTGTACCTGTGCTCCAAGCTTGTGGAAAAAGAATAACACGAACTATTTTAAGCACGTGGATGGAACGTAAAGACGCTCATTATCTGTTGATGGATATTTCAATTGCCCAAGAAGAGGAGGAGTCTGGTCAGCTCAACTCACTGCAAATTCATTGTTTTGACTCAGACACTGAGATCAGAAGATTTCAGAATAGCCAAGCAGTTCTGAGCCTCCAGACCTCCAAACTGTTTTCTGGTGAAGTTCATCCAAGCCAAATATCCAACCACCTAAGCCGCAGCCTGGCCCTGAGTTTGGGCTCAGTCAGCCGCAGAGGTTTCCAGCTCGCCTTCTCCTACTCAGGATCATGTGTGTTCCTGACCGCCATCAGACTGTATTACAGGAGGTGCCCTGATGTTGTTTCTAACCTTGTCTCATTTGGGGGAATGGGGGCCGGCTCTGGGCCTCTGTCTGGTTCTTGTGTGGAGGGAGCTGTTGAGGTTTCTCCTCCTATACGGGAGTGTAATCTGGATGGAGCGTGGGGGCCACTGCAGGGGGGGTGCACTTGTGAACCTGGGCATCAAGTCATGAAGGACACCTGTGAAGGTACAGACATCAGATTAATTATTTCTCTTTTTTTATGTGTTCATTATTTCTGCATTCAGACGTGTGTTCAATCGATCTGATTTCTTGTTAGCTCATGCCCTCGAAAGACGGACAGACAAATAAAACAAGAACAGGCTGCAATAAGAGAGGAACAACAAGGACAAAACAAAACACAAAAATGAGTTCTGCAAATAAAAAAGTTAATCTTGTTTCTATGCAATCAGCCACAGACCTAACAATATTTTGTTTTGCACATTACTATCTGAGGCTGCACGTTGCTAAGGAATGAAGTACAGCTCTTCCAGTCATTTGCTGACGCAAACAGTTCACAGTAAAAGTATTTTGGTTAAACTTATCTTTGATACATTTTGTGAAATTTCCTGTTTTGATCATGACTTTCGTATCCTCTTTCACACAATCGTCAGTCTGACCTCACTGTGTCAATTTTATTTTAAATATGTTTCCTGTCCGTTGCTCAACATTTAGTCTAAAGTTTCCCCTAACACCACATCATTCCAAGTAGATAGATTTTTTTTTGTTCTCCAATGACATGAGAGCATTACAGGACCACTGACATTCTGATCATTTTGCTGTTCTTAGCTACTATACTTAAGGTTAAGCATTGGTTTATTCACACATCATTAAAATCTTCACCATTCATTGATGAGATCTAAGCCCATTGTTGGTTGGCCACACTGATACTAGACAATAGTGTCTGTTTGCATACTGCATGATGGCCAGTGAGCCAACAGTTCATCAGTTGACGGAACATTATGAAATAATCACCTGGATTATTGGCTAATCAATAAAGTTTTTTTTATTTAAAGCAAAAATCCTCTTAATTTAAGCTTCCCTAATATAAAGATCTGATATTTTTAGTAGTATTATATCATGGCAAAGTAAATATCTTGCTTTTGCAAGGGCCACAGCAATTTTTTTTCATTTGGGCTCCTGCAGAAGAAATTTTGATTTATCTCGCAATAAGCTTCACATTCCCACTGATCTATATAAATAGTTAGTGTGTTGGTCCACTTCAATTCTAATACACTGCCAGTTTAGGGAACCATTCTACAAATACTACAGAGG